TATATATATATATATATATGGGTGAGATCCGTTGAAAACTCATACTTTTCCCGAGAACCTAAGAACCAAAGGTGAAGCGTTAGATCAAAATTAACTCATTAAGGGCATGATCGTGATCTTACCGATCTTATTTGATGTTTAACTTTTTTTTGTTATTGGAAATATTAATAAAAAGTTCTAAAAATTAAAAAACTAAATCAAATTTCGGATTTTTTAAAAAAAATATATTTCGATTTAATTTTAAAAAATGGAGATATTTTTTTTTTCAGAAAACATGATCTTTTAAAAAAAATTGAAAAAAAATATATTTTTTTAAAAAAACTGCAATTTTTACAAAAAAAACTACAATTTAAAAAAAAAACTGCATGTTTTTTAAAAAAACTGCATTTTCTTCAAAAAAAAAACTGCAATCTTTTAAAAAAAAACTGCATTTAAAAAAAATCTACAATTTTTTCAAAAAAAATGTAATTTTTTTAAATAACTGCATTTTTTTTAAAAGTAAATTTTTAAAAATCAATAAATGAAAAAAAACTAGAATATTTAAAAAAAAAACTCTAAAAAAATCAATGTTTTAGGTGCATATATGCATATTTTTTCAAATATTTATATGCATATTTCTTATACTATATTATTCGTAAGTAAATCATAAACAATCTCATTTTTATTAAGCAATCTATAAACATAATACTACAAGTATTTTATTCGATACTAAATAAAATATATAAAAAACTACAAAGATTCACAATGTTATTATTTCTTCAAGTCAAGATTTCCATATGTTTTTTTTCCATTTATCACTTTTCACCACTTCAATATTTTCCACAAATTCTTCAAAATCTACAAGAAAATTAAAAAAATTGATCAATGCAAGAACACTCACAAAAATGCACATGTATATATCATGTAAGATTCACATGTGATTGTATATTTTAAGATTCAAATGTGAAATTCACAAGAAAAATTTTAAAAAAATATTTAACGAAGAACACTCACACAAAATGCATGTGTGCATATAGAGATAATTCATATGTGAATCACTTGTGATTTACATTTGAATCACATGTAATTGATATGTGATTCACTTATGATTTACATGTGAATTACATGTTGTCACACCCCAAACCGGAACGGCGGAACGTTCGGGGGCGGAGGACGTCATGTACAGTATCACAACAATTGCATAATAGTAATCAAAGTACAACAATCATGTATTGATAAATTATAAGTTTTTACATACGTTTTCAAGTCATTGTATATATGACACCAAAATGTATATCAAAAGTTAAAAAAAAACATGAGTCTATGAAGCTCCGTCTTGTCAAAACTTGAGGATACATGTTTACTGATATCCTGAGAATACAAGTAGTTTTGAAAAGAGTGTCAACAATTAAGTTGGTGAGTTCATAAGCATGTTTGTAACTGAAATCTGTTATTTGTTCCTTGAAAATGTAAGTATGTTTTCCCAGAAAATCATTTATTTTCTGTTGTAATATGTTGAAATCAAAACGTGTAAATGTTTTTGTACTATGAGATAGTAAAATGTAGTTTTAATTCACATAAAACCATGAAAAGTATGTTTTCTCTGCACTGAAATAGTATTATGTATTTATACTTGTATGAAAACTGTGTAATTGCAAATGCCTGGATTCACCAGTTGTACTTATAAAATACTATATTATAGTTTTATTATTTAATAAAACTATGTGAAGTTGTTTACTTATTCATACACTAATCTTATTGTTCAATACCAAATTGTGAGTTATCATAACCATGCTTAATGACCTAAGATGGCCTGAACACGTCGTTCTTCAGGCGTCACAATCGGTACGACATTTGTCACCTCAGGCCTAACGGCCTAGCTGTTGCAAGCAGCTCAGGTGCGAGATTGTCAGTCCCGTATAGATCTATACACAAGTGTCACATTCTCCCTCCAGGAGACTCTGATTATAATTTTAGGACTTGGTTGGTACTTAGATAAGTACGTGAAGTGTGTCTCACAAATGCTATATTGACGGTTACGTGTAGAAAAATGAAAAGTTACTTTGTAATGGATAAACTTGTAAGTAAATCTCATAAACTATATTTATTATAGTTTATATGTTTGTTTTCTATAATGTATTATGAATATGTAAAGTAGTGCATATGATCCATAAACTATATCTTTTATAGTTTATATGTTTATTTTCCGTAATGTAATCTTAACTTTGAAAAGCAATATGTAAGTTCCATAAACTATACCTATTATAGTTTATATGTATATGTTTTACTGAAACGAAAACCTTTGTATTGTTAATAATTCAGCAAGTTTAAATTTTAAAATCTGTGATACGGTTGTTCCGTGAAATTCAACATTTATATCCAAACGGTACTACAATAGTTTGCAAAAATTATATTTTTGTTTAACAAGTTCTAAATGATTTTATACTTATATAAATATAATATTTATATAATTATGATTAAATAAACAGTCGAATAAATAATTCTACCCCAAGCCCACAACCAAACAAGGAACATGAAAAGGAGTCAAATTATCAATTCTAAGCCTGTTGAACCTTAATTATATAATTTGTATATATTAATATATATTTTTAACGGCAACAATTGATAAATATTGAAAACATTTAGATATTAACACAATTTTCTTGTGTTACACTTGTATTCCCCCCTAAAACAGTGAAAAATCATGAAAACGTAGGGGTATGAACTCACATTGTATGTAGTCGCGGTTAGTTAATATGGTAGTAACGGTGACTTCGGGCTAGAACACGGAAGGTTAATCGTGTCCTAACTATTTTAAACACAATATAAAGTGTAAATCTTTATGATCTAATAACATAAATATGATTGTAATAATATTAGTCCAAAAAGACTTACAATGATTTCTTAAGGAAAAGTAGTTGGAAGAATCAAACTCTTAGAAAGAAAAGAGATTTGAATTTGAGAGAAATGAGGGTAATCTCGTTTATGGAGGTGTAAAAGTGAAGGATATTTGCATGACGTATCTTAAATATGAAGTAACTTTGAGGTGGTTATAAGCTAAATATCTAGATATTTCAGGGTTTTCGGCCGAGAACTCTACCCGAGAAAGGAGATTTCGGTCCAAGGTTTGCGGTGTGAATGGAGTTTGAGGTACGAAGTGTTTGCGGTCCAAAGGAACTGTTTTCGGTCCGAGGTGGGGTCATGTCACACCCCCGAACCAGACGGCGGAAACGTCCGGGGGCTTGTGCGTGACTTCATCTTTGTAGTATCATCACAGAGTATATAATTGAAACACAACATCATCATCATCACACATGTAATATAACAACATTCATAGTTTACATCGAGTTTGTATTTCAATATTACATGCCAAAATGTTTAAAGTATGATGAGACAAAATATGAAAAAATATCCATGAATTCGTTCTGCTCAACGGTTTCCTGAGAATACAAGTTAATTTAAAAAGGTCAACATAAAGATGTTGGTGAGTTCATAAGCATGTTTGAGAAAATGATTTGTATAACTTTGTAATCACAAGAAAATCCTATATTTTCTTAAAACATTTTAGTATGTTTGTGTCCGATCTTGTATTGATGCATGTGTGTTAATGGTTACTAGAATGCAGCAAGAGAATGAGGAGAATGTAAAGAAAATGTAAAGAGAATGCCCCCAGACAACCCTCTGTTGTATGTAAAAGAGAATGTTGGTATACCAACCCCCGGGGTTGAGTACCTGCGCGAGTATGTTCCCGAGTAATCCAATTAGAAAAGAGAATGGTTTCCTGTAAATTTTATAATGTTAATTCCTCTAAGTGAGTCGCTATAACCATACTAGATAATGACATTTTCGCCTGTCTTGGCGTTTATGGACGCCGACGGAATAGAATAAGGTTTTCGTCACCCTAGACTGGTTTAGTCTAGCTGTAGCGAACAGCTCAGGTGTGGGGTGTCATCCCCGTATAGATCTATACACAAATCTCGCTCTCCCTCCAATAGACTCTGGTTATAACTACAGGCTACGATCGTACACTCAATAGGTGTTAACCGACACGTCTCACTAGATCCTTAATCGAAATTTACGCGAAGAGAAACATATAAAGCACACTCCAGGCCCAA